TATTGAAGTGAACCACATTACTTTTTTTTTGTTTCGCTAAGTTTTCACACTCCATGTTTTGCGCAAGTGAACCTCATCACTCTCAAAAGTGAACCACATCCAAGGACCAAACGCACTATAAGTGTTGATATAGTCGATTGAATTTTGAGACATATGAAACAAATTGCACTTCATACAAAGGGGTAATGAGCTGCAGATGAGAGACTAGGGAACTGCATCAAAACACAAACTACACTTCATACACAGGGATAATGAGCTGCAGATGAGAGACTAGCGAACTGCACCAAAACACACCGAGTCTTTGACAGCACAGCAACAACACTGCATTGCAAATCCAACACGAAATTGAACTCTATGCGCCGTACTGCAGCAAAACACACCCGATTCACACCAAATTTTTGGACATGGCTGAACCGGACGAAACCGAAAAATACAGAGTTAATTTTTTGGAATCGGGTGCCTTTTTTCTGATTCGCAACTGAACTGAACTACATGGTGAACAAAACTTGTAAATTCAAAGAAATTATATCACGCCAGGAAGTAAACTTCATGGTCCCGCTTGGGAAGTGCACGTTGGCACCAGCCGGACTGCATCGCCGCGTGCCGGCTGGACGTGCTCCACACACACACCTGCACACACGAGCAAAGTGAGCTGCAACATCGGCCGCCAAAAACGTCAGTCGTCGGAGTGGCAGAAGAGGGAATGGATCTTGCCCGTTGACTACAGAACACTGTCGGATCTCCTCGTCCTGTCGTCTGCAAGCTTGCCGGAGGAGCCGGCCGGAGCACAGCGCCACCAGCCGTGCAACAGTCAGGAGGAAGGTGGTGGAACGGGGAGGGCAGAGTCGCCGGTGACCCCCGTCGCTGAAGAGAGGCAGTGGGGGGTACCTCCCCCCGTCGTGGTCGTGGTAGGCACGCTGGGGGAGAGCATATCATCGCGGGGGAGGGGGGATCCGGCGGTCTTCGTACTCCACGACCATCAGGGAGGCCGGATCCGGCGAGTTCGCCTATGGTAGCGCGGGGCCCTGTGGTCGCTGTGAGCGCGGGATCCCCCTAGCTGATCCGGGGATTGGGGAGATGGGCCGCGCGTCGGCGCTTGGGAAGCCAGCCACTGGAGAGGAGGGAGGCGGTAGAGGGAGGGAGGTCCGCGCGCGCCGTTGGTGGAGGCGTCGGGGTCTGGGCGGTCTGGATCGGGGCAAGGAGGTGGAGGAACGAGGGAGGGTGGAGTGGGACGGGAGGTGGTGGCGAAGGCCGCAAGAAGGGCACGCCGACGACGAAGAAGGCGGCGGGATGGGGCGCGCCGGCGGCGCAGAAGGGCCGCGTGATGGGGCGCGCCGGCAGCGAAGAAGGGCGCAGGATGGGGCGCGCCGATGATGAAGGAGACGGCGGGATAGGGCGTGCCGGCGGCGAAGAAAGCGGCTGGATGGGGTACGCCGGCAGCGAAGAAGGCCACGGGATGGGGGCGCCGGCTGCGAGGATGCGCGTGCGAACTCGTGCGGGGAAGAAGGTAGGAGGAGGTGGGGGTCGTGCGCCCGCTCGATGGGTGGAGAAAGTTGGATCGATGGCATTTTTTTGTGGTTGCTGCAGTCCATATCGGGGGTGGGTACGTGGTTGGTTTGTTGATTTTTGCAGCGCGGAAGTGTTATTAGAATAAGCTGGGTGTTATTAGAATAAAACTTTTAAGGGG